GATTAAAGGGAGAGTTATTGCGCTGCTAATGTTTCTCTGTTTTGTTTTGCAGATCACGCGTTTGAAAATCGACAGAAATCCATTCGCCAAAGGTTTCCGAGACTCTGGCAGGAACCGGTGAGTGACGCTAACCACACCGATTTTCACATTAAAAAGCGTTTCTGGTTTTGGTTTTGGTGCGGCTATTTCTGCACGACTTTTAAGAGCAGAGTTGAGTCATTCTTTTAAAGGTGCAGTGTGTCACTTTTCTCGTGGAGAGACCTTCAAATGCTTTTCCCCGTGTGTGTTATTCCTTTGTCTGGAACGTTTTACTGTTTGGTATTAAGTTTTGGCCTTTCTATCTTCTTGGAAACCAAACCAGATCAAGTTACAGGTCAGATCTGTGGAGAGGCGACGCCGCTCACAGTCAGAATGTTGTTTTTCTTGGCGTTTTCGAGCTATAAAAGCACTTGTAATTGAATAAATGTAACGTCAAGCTGTTTAAAGTCGCACAGAACCCTTCACCAGAAAAGCTACGCGGTCCACGTTTAATGAAAAATCCCAAAACTGATCTGGAATAAGCGGGTTTTGGCTGTACGTAATTACAGGCTCACAGTGTTAATTAGCGATTTTTATATTTTAATTGTTTGGCCTTTAAAACTTGCACAAGCGGCTCACATATGGAGCAGAGGAGTAAAAAAATAAACTTACGCTACAAACTTAAATGGAGCGTCAGATTCCAGCGGCTCCGGGACATAAACATCAACAGCATAATAATAAAATTCAAGACTGACATGAAGAAATTTTGTCTAAACACATTTGGAAACGTATATAAACAGAGTATTAAACCAACAGCAGTAAAAAGCCCAGCAGTCTGCAACGGCACTGCCCCCAGGCCCCACACAAGTCATTAGGAGAGAGGGAGCGAGGACGAGAAGTGAGAGGAAGAATGAAAAGAACGAAGGAGAGGCGAGGAGGAGTGGATCACACGGAGGGTCTGACAGCTGAGCCTATAAAAGTGAAACTCAGGAAGGCCCCGAAAACTGGCCCTAAACGTTACAGGAAGAGTTAAGCAGTTTGCTAAATAAACTGGAGCTCGCGTAGGATCGCTCGCAGCGCCGCTCCGGGCAGCTTGTCTAAATTATCACCGCGGCAACAACCCGGCGGGGGGGCAGGACTTTTATCCCCGCACTAACGAGGAGTAACAGAGCGCCGGCGTTACCCCCGTCTTAGTGGCTCTCCCCCTCCCCACCTGCAGGGGGAGGGGGCGAGCGGTCCCACCTCGTAAATCCAGGCCGCGGCTTCCTGCTCCTTGGTTCTGATTCGCCCGTAAAAACCCGTGTGAAAGCAATTACCTCGGAGCACCCGGGCGGCGGCGGCCAATCAGAGCGGGCCGTTTATGCCCCTCATTACCTGCGGTCTCCATGGCGATGCAGAGAGGGCCCCCGTGCCAGTTAAGATGGCCGCCAGGTGGTTGGCATGATGTACGACCCGGGCTGAGCTGCAGGGAGAGAGGGAGAGAGAACGAGGCAGAGAGATGGAATAAAAACAGAAGAATCTTTTTTTTTTCCTCAGTGTGTTGGATGGATTTGATGGTCTCACTTTCAGATGGAGGAAAAGCCCCATTTTTCTGTATATCCGCTCTCAGTTTTTGAAGGAAATACCCATATGGAAAACTTCACAATCGTTTTTGACTCGGGCCCCATAAACTTGCCACAATAAGTTATTACCTTAAAGATGCACTGTGTAACTTTTCTGGAACCTGTAAGTCTCCATGGTAGGGATGGGCATGATTAGTCGATTAGTCGATAATTGATCATTAAGAATTTCATCGATTACGTTCATTTTTAATCGACAAACCGAATGTAGGTTGCTGTGCGTAGTGTGACCAAACAGAGGTCCGTACATGTGTCTCTCTGCACTCAGAAGGAGCGAGACACAAACAGTTGGTCAGTCTGCAATGTGCCAAAGCGCAAATGCGTATTTAACGATGACTTGTAAAAAAATTCCACGCTTTCCGTTCCGGTTGAGACAAGTGGGAGGTCGTGTGCACAGTGTACAAAGCAGGCATTTGTGTTTCGGTGTCCATTGAAAAAAGTTCACACCGAAAACATGAAAAAGCTTGGTGAGAGTCGCTCAATGTCGATGACGAGTCCCCACCTTCCGCTCCCGTACGGTGTCCTGGTTTTGACAAACACAAATCTGGTCACACTAACCTGTTTTCCACTGAGTCGTGTCTTTTAATCCAACAGAAGTTGAACTGCATCAGCGACACAAGAGCTGTTTTTTTTTTTAAATCTTCGCTTAGTTTATGCAAATTAGCCATGCAGTTTTAAGTTTAGTTTCTGTGAGAGTTGCGCAAAGCTGCATTAAACACATTCTAATGTCAAACGGGCTGATGTGGCTCTAGAGTGGTTACGGTTTATATGTCGTCAAGTTGAATTTATTTATGCAGATTAGTAGTGCAGATAGAAATAATAATGATGATAAATTTAATATAAAAACATTAATGATGAATCGATAATCGATCATTAATTCTCCCGACGATCGATTAAGAAAATTTGAATCGAATGCCCATCCCTACTCCATGGAGATGTTTAATGCTTTGGTTTAAACTGCACACACACTGTCGAATCAAACACTAGTGAACTAACAGCTAGTTAAGATGTTCATTTTGTCGTCTTATGGACTTTAACTTCTTGGGTTCTTTTCAAAGACGATAAAGTAAAGTGTATTTATCTTGTTGACATGTTTCTGCTGCTGCATCTTCAGAACTGTCCCGGGTTTTGGTGGTAACGTGTCGTATATCAGCTGTTGTTACTTCCTGTGGGCGTGGTCTGTTGTTGTGACTTCTCCTCGTCCGGTGTTCTCTTGAGGAGGGTGTCTCAGGTGTGTTGAAGAAGGAACGTTCCGTCATCACGGTTAATTCTGTCCGAGTGTCTGTGCCTCCTTTCCTGATTTCACTGTCCTACCTGATCCAGCGTTTGAACTTGTTTTTTTCCGATCCAATGATCCGAGCCCCATCCCAATCCAGAATGTGTTTTTTTCTTTTACAATGTTTGATATGGCGGATTTTTGGTTTTCCTGTTCTGCTCTTTCTTTTTGTTCTGGTGAGTCTCCCGAGAGCAAAGAAGTTAACAGCTAGTTTAGTTTAGGTGGTGTTCACACGGCAACGTTTTTTGGTCGAAATGGTGAAATTTTTATTCATATCGTCCACATGGAGCCGGTGTTTCAGATGGGCGAAAACAGTGTGTTTTGAAAGCGGGTTCCAGAGTGCAGAAATCTGAGAACGCCGATGTTGTGTTGTCGTGTGGACAAGCAAACCGCAGCTTTTGGAAAACAATGACATTGCGACCTCGTCATCTCCATGTGACCAGAAGAGAACCCCACACAGGAAGGACTTTATGCACATGTGCTCTTTGTAGTTTTGTGCGTTCAGTGGCTCTGGCTGTGTCCTGTTTACAGCGCCACATACAGTCGTGGTGTTTGTATTACAGCGTTTTCACTCAGTGCTCTGTTGTCCTGTGGATGTGAATATTTATTGATTGATTGACATGTGTGTGGACGCAATTTTTTTTTTCAACCCACAAAATTTATGTTTTATTTTTTTTAATCCAGGAGCGTTGTCGTGTGGATGTAGCCTTACTCACAGTTTACAAATTTGTGGATCTTAATGACTGTGACTAAGATCGACTTGAATGAAACAAGTAACTTCAACAGTGAAGTGTTATTGCCAAGAGTCCAGCTCCATTTCCCAGTCTGTTCCACTCCTCCTTTTGCGACCTCCCTGTTTTTCCTACAACCACCACTCACTTCCTGAGCCTCCCAGAGTGTCTCTATATCCTCTCTCTGTTCATTCACTCTGTGCTCGATTACACTTGTTCTCCTCTTTTGTTTCTTCAGTATTTTTTGTTTCCTAAGTTTGGGGGCTTTGGTTGAGTTGACATGAAATGACCGAGCTTTATTATTTTATTGTTACACATGTTACGATGTGTTTGGACTTAAGATGAACAAAAGTTTTTGCTTTTGTTTTTTAAAGACTAATACATAAAAAGAACCTGTTTTTACTCTAACTTGTGTACAGAAATAACATTTGCTCAATTCAAGGCAATTGGTTTCCATGGTTTTACCAAGTAAGATGAACTTCCTCTTAAAGTAAAAGTTACTACATATTTCAGATTTGAAAGTGTGGTTTTAATACCAGAGTAGTATTAAACTAATCTGTCTGGCATTTATTCAACTACAGGTGTTATTTATTGCTTAAAATATCTTCAAAACATATGTTCTGACTGTGAGTGGGCTAACCTGCAAGTCCTTACGGACTACTATATTTTTGGATTTGGTGATGGACCCTCCACCAGACAAGTTACACAATGCACCTTTCAACCATCAGACTTGTGTGATTGAATAATGTGACCACTTTTGGTTCTAGTAACAAAATCTCCATCTTTTGAGTGAACAGAGAAGCAGAGAACATTGTAACAGTTTAATATTTCTGTGTGGTCGCTTATTTTTGCAAGAAATAGCTGAACGAAAACAGTTTATTCTAATAATTGTTTACCAGATCTTTGTCTCGTTAACTAAAAATAATCTGTGGACTTCTTTTGACTCTTTGAACTGACAACAATCACACTTATGTAACTGTGTGATGCTTATTACCAGTTATTAAATCATCTTAGTTTGTTTGCCAGAGAAAAATGTTGACAGTTTGTTTTATGTGAATAGACCCATATTAAAGGTGCACTATGTAACTTTTTGGTTTTGGGGTTCATCTTCTGCTTGTTTCTATGGAGATGTCATTGCTCTGCCTGGAATGTTCCACAGTGTGACATTAAACAGATCTACTTTACATTTATTTAATTACAGGTGGTTTGATCGCCCAAAAATACTTAGAAAAACAGACATTCTGACTCTGAGCACCACAGATCTGACCTGTAACTTGGTCCGATTTGCTCTCCATGAAGATAAAATGGTTTAATGTCATAGTGTGGAACATTCCAAACAAAGCACCTGCCCCTTTAACATTTCTTAGCAGACTCATTTTAAACTTCTTGTGATGTAAAGCACATTAAACCTGATCTTAACCCTCTGCTCTGCTGTTGTGTTTGTGTTTGTTCAGGATGGGTCTGGAGGCTCTGGTAGAGTCGTATGCTTTCTGGCGTCCATCTTTGAGAACTCTGACGTTTGAGGACATCCCAGGCATGGCCAAACAAGGTGAGGAAGATTTATGCAAAAAAATTAAATCAAGGAATCAATTAATCACATTATTTGGACCAGCACTGTTGTGTGTTATTTAAAAGGGCTATATTACTCTATTACTATTACTATATTCTGATCTGTCAAAAACTTACCTGGAGTTCTTCTCACATAAACACAAAATACTCTGTTCTGAGTTGAAATATTTCAGAGTTGAAATATTTCAGAGTGTTATTTTAACTATTTGAAAGTTAAATGGGGGTTGGATTTGGGCTTATTTGCCAGAGTTGATAGAGTTGATTCAACTTCCTCTAGTGTTAATTCAACTTCCCTTAGTGTTAATTTGGCTCCTCCCACCCACCACTTCAAACTCCCGTGACAGAAGACCAGTTTGAACCAGTTTTGTTCATAATTTCATCTTAAATTAACTCAAATAAAGTGTAAAAATCAAACACCTCTGTGTGTTGTTCAGCTAAATTAGGATAACTCTACAAAGTGTTATCCGTTTACTCTCAAACCATTCATTTAACTCTTCTAACTTTGGTCCAGTGTTACTTAATGAACATTTCCAAAAATGTTAAATTAACTCTAGACCAGATTGGATTCATATAAACCCTGAGAAAATGTTCAAATCGATTCTGTCAGAGTCAGTTTTAGCACTTCACTTTTTGCTTTAATCATTTGGAAAATTTCAACCCTAGAAGTGCCAATGTCTACCGAAGTACAGGTAAAAGGAGCTGCTAACTTTAGGACTACCACATCATGACATCAGAAGGTGAAGCATTTTGAGCTTTGGAGATGTAGACAGACTAATAAAAAAGGTTTTCTCAAACATGTGTGAATGTAAAAAACACAAATCCAGGTCTGTTTTTGATGAGAAAACAACATTCTAACATGACTTAAATGCCACCAGAGTCCATTTTGCCCTTTAACACTTCCCTCTGTGTGTGCAGGAGTCCCAGGCGCTCACGGAGGTGTGGTGCCCACCTCTCCCTGCTCCTCCCCGTTCCAGGTGTGCCCCCTCAGCCCCCCTGACTACACCTGCGCCCGCCCCACCCACCCCCTCCACCGCTACGGCAACGGCCCCGACCCCTTCCCGTCTCCTCGGGGCCCCGCCACTTTCGACGCCGAAGGTTTTTGTTCTCTTCCTCTTCCTACGTCCCAGCTCGGATACCTGTCCAACCCCTCCCCCCAGAGCTACGCCAGCCTCCGCCTCCACAGCCCGCCCTACAGCCTCTACGGTTACACATTCCCTCCCTCTCCGCGCCTGGCAGCCAGTCCAGACAAAATGTCCGCCGCAGCCACAGTAAACCACACCAGCCCTTTCATCGGTTCATCTCCGAGCGGGACCCTGACGGACAGTATTAGCGTTTTGAGCGGGGGACAGCAAGGATTTCTGTTTGATTCTCGGACTTTGGGACTGGCCACTAGCTCACCGGGAGCAGCCACGTCACAGGTCACGGCCCACATGAGCTGAACTGGACTTATGTAACCTGTTTATTTTCATGTGCACCAAGAGACTCTGTGGACAAACTAACAAAACTGGAAACCATTTTGGGCAGTTCAGTTTGTTTTTTTCTCAATGGTCCTTTGGAAAAGTCTTGACATTTTACCTAAGAATACAGAGTGCAAAGAGGGAATATTCTGGTTTGTTAGAATGACCTGAGACCAGTATTATATTTTTGGAACAGTTTAGCAAATTAACTAGTTTCAGTAGAGAGATCCTCAATCCAAATCGTACTCAACAAATTAGAAACGTCATGAAAAACATTTAATTATTATAAGAAAGTAAGTAGTTTAAGCTAAATGGTGCACTGTGTAATAGGGCTGAACGATCTATCGTTTTGGACCGAAACTCGTGATCCCAGAAAACACGATTTTGGGAGAATCAAAGTTGCGTTTTTTTCTTTTTTTTTGCAGTGCTCATAAAGCCCAATTTAAGGGTGAAGTTTTAACTTCAACTTAACGCTCTCTGTTGCTGTCTACTTGTCACCGTCGATTTTGATTTATCGATCTGCGTCGAGGTCTATGTGCCGCAAAGTAATTCACCACCTCAACGCTAGGAAGCGAGGATTTAAACCTGGCATTCGTTTAAAGTTTAACATGAAGCATCTCCAACTCGATATACACACAGAACAGACTCACCATCAGCAGAACACCCCTCTGTCACAGAAAGAACACTCATATTCCACTGAGTCATGTCCTTTAATCCGACAGAAGCTGAACTGTATCAGCAGCACAAGGAGCGAGCTGTTTTTATCAGCGCTTTATAGTTTATGCAAATGAGCCATGTGGTTTTAAGTTTTGCTTCTATAAAACGTAAACAAATGTGCACAAAGCTGCATTAAACACATTATTACTCAATGTATACTGAAAGAAAGGAAAGTGGAGTACAGGAAATGTGTGTAGAGCGATGGTAGACAGGACCAATCACAGCATTTATTGCCTGTGTTTTACGGTCCAGCGTCAAATCGTCAGTGCAGGACTCTGGTGTGATGCAAGTTTCTGTAATGTTTGGAAATGTTCATGTGCACCGAAACTTGATTGATGTTTGGAAATGTTCATGTGCGCCGAAAACTGATTTGAAAAAAATTATGGATGAAATAGAAATCGCAACATCTGCCACAAAAATCACAATTCAATTTTTTTTTTTTTTTTTTTAATCGTTCAGCCCTACTATGTAAATTTTCTGGTAGAAGGTCCGCCGCCTGCTTGACCTGTAATTTTTTTTGTCTTGAATGTCCCAGTGTGGCATTAAACTTAAACATATCCATCTTGCCTTTACTGAATAACATACATTTTTAAAACACAACGGACTCCAGGCACTCCAAAGATGCGTAAATCGCAAAAATCGTATCCTTGTGTAATTTTTACTTCTTTGGAGTGCCTGGAGTGTGTTGTGTTTTAGTTTTGATCCTCTTTCTACCTGCTCCCACTGACTGGAACACTTGCAGCAAACAGCCACATTTTTGTTCTTTCGAGCATACATTTTTGTTGACCTAAGATCTTGCGTTCTTACTATGAGTGCGTTTGCCTCTCCACAGATCAGACATGTAACCTGGCCCTGTGGTGTCACCTGCTGTGTCTGTAGAGATAAGTATAGATAATTATAATACCGTAACGTGGAATATGCCAGGCAATATCCTCATGCAGAGAAGCAGGTGACGGGACCTTCCACTAGAAAAATTACACACTGCACCTTTAAACCAAATCTTCACAATCCAAATTAAAACCAGCATCTCAAATGGTTTTAATCCAGATCTACGTTTTGCAAAATTTCTGGAAACCATATCAAAGAAGAGGGAAATCTGGCTCAACCTGAGAGCACTTCAGCCTTCATCTACTGCCATAAGGAAATGACTGAAAAAGTTAAAGAGAGAGACATTCACTTTATCGATCCCGAGGGAAATTCAAGTTTTGCTGCTGCAACATTTCCACTGCGCTTCATCGTGTCCTTTGTGTCTCAGTCAAAGGTCTGAGTGCAGTTTAACAGGACGACTGGTCAGGGAGGGTCAGCAGATCTGTGTCAGGACAGTTTGAGGAGAGGAAGAGTCAAAAGTGTCCGGGAAAGACCTCGTTCTGGTGTTCGGTGTTTCATTCCCTCAAAGTATTTCCCCTGGAAGGTCTGCCACATTTGGTTTATTTATGGACAATTCTGAAACAACAATTTGAACAAAATGGATTGATTGGAGACAGACGGACAGTGGACGCTTGACCACATCTTGGGTAACACACGGAGACTGTATGTTGTTCTATGTTTATGTTTGTATAGTTTAATTAAAGTAAGAATCCGATACGTATGAAAGCTGAATGAGCCTTGGCACTTACAAAACCAATGGATCTACAGACCTATTCACGGGTTTCACGACAAATGAGGACCTTGTCTTATTCAAAATATATAATATTTTGATTTAAATTGTTAATTGCTATGGCGATAGAGGACCATTGCCACTTTGAAACCCTTGGATATGAGATACAGAATGTGTAGCCCCCGTACACTCAAAAAGACAAATTTCTGTGTTATGTTGATTCAAAACTACTCAAAAAATTGTCATTCAGTTAAAAAAAAAGAGAGACAAGATTATTTAAAGTCAACATTTCTTTCTTTTCTGAGTGGAGCTACGCAGATCTGTTACCAGGACATTCGAGCCAAAACTATATCCTATAATTCCTCTCACTGTGTTTATTGTGTAATCACTACGTCACTAATTTAATTGAATAAATTTGGTTTAATAATGCTCTTATACATTATTATGTTATTGTAAATATGTTCACAGTTATTATTATACTTGGTTGTGAAAAAGCAGTATTTGAATCATGTGTTATTGTATGTTTTGTGTGCATGTGTGTGTGATAAAACTTTGAACATGGTCACATTTCTAAGCATCATATTTTCCATTTTTTTTATGAAACTTAAATATAACTGCATATATTCTAGAGCAGTAGACATCATTTCTATGGTCAGAGTTTAAGGTCCAATATTATGCAAAAATTTATTCTTGTGAACTTGTCAAAACATACCCAGAGCTTGTGTTTGTGTCATTCACAAACACTTTATTATTAGTCTGTTTACATCTGTTTAAAGCTAGTCTGTTTGCAAGCTCAAAATGCTCTGTTCCACCTTCTGATGTCATAGAGTCAGTGTTGCCAGATTGGGTTTAGTGATTTCCACCCAGTCTCATTCGAAAACCCGCCCTCTTCAACAACAAAAAACGCCCAACAACATTTTGTCACAAAAAAACATTTAATCTTTGAATAAATGTATGTGATCCATTATTGGACTTTTAAAAACATTGCCAGTATTGATAAAACATGTTAAAAGTAGAACAGCATTTTCATTTATCACAGACCAAAGGACATTTAATATTTCAATAAAAATGTTGCAGGCAGTTTAATCTGTAGGCTTTTAAAAAACATTGCCAGGATTAAGAAAACATGTTCTGTAAAAACCTTTGGTAAAACGTAGAACAGTGTTTTCATCACACATAAAAAGTAATATTATCAATGGTCGGCTGTAGCCTAGGCTACAAGAACAGCTGCAAACACAGAGCCTGCCGACTCATACATCGAAGAATTGAATCTGTGTAACAGCTGAACACTGGGACATCTGAAAGAAGTGGACGTCCTTTCATTTGTGTACAGGCTGGTGCGCCTCCATAAGACTGGACAGGAGTCAAAGTCCCATACGATTTCTTGTGTTATTGCGTTGATGGTGTGAAAAGAAAAAATGCTGAAACTTGTTGAAAATTGCCCAAATATTGTCTACCCACCTAAGGCTTCCTCTCCCTGCCCTCCTGCCCGACAGAGTCAAAAGAAGCCCAACTGGGCAGGCACCCACCCGATCTGACAACACTGCATGTAGTGGTAGTTTTCAAGTGAACAGCTCCTTTTACCTGTTCTTCAATAGAAACAGGCAGTTCCAGAGTTAAAATCATGCAGGTGATTCTAGTGAAGGTGTGTGGAGTTTAAAAACACAGTGGAGCACTTCTTGTATTACCACATGTGTCTCTGTTATTGCTTTGCCTGAATGTTCCATAGTATAGTTTTAAGCTTTTCTGTTACCATGGAGACAGGTTAGGTGTGTGAAGAGGCAGCTCAGGAGACTTCATTTATAGAATACAATTATTCAAGATGTTTTTGAGCAATAGAAAAAAAAAAATCTAATTGTATAAATAAAACAAATATAAGTTTAATGTAGTCTTGTGGAACATTTCAGGCAAATCAATAACACCGAGAGAAGGAGATGGTGACACCTCCAACAAAAAAGTGACATAGCACACCTCATCACAAAGAAGAACTTTCACTTTTTTGAGCTTTTAAGATAAACAACATTATAACACAGATCAGTAAACAGTGTGATATAGAACCTTTAATTCACTGTTATTGGGACTACTTTGGTTTGCTCCAGTCACAAAGAGACCTTTGGCAAGTTGACATAGAAGTGAGGTCCAAGTCCCAGATTATGAGGTCCTCACAAGTCCTCACTTCAAACACTAGTTCTGTTTTAGCCTTTTCTGTCATGCACCTTTACAATACTGTAAAAACAAAAAACAAAACAAAAAAAAAACATATGAATCTGGAACCGTGAAAAGACTTCCCGATTTCCAGTGAGTGTGACTGACATGTGATTTAACCAATGAGAACACTGCCTGACCCATTTGTATTGAATCACACTTGGCGTCTTGCAGGTCAAAATAGAAAGAAACAAAAAAATACTTTTCACATGACAACAGTAATAGATGATATGGAATTAGTTTTGGGTTAGATACAAACTGAAATGATATTTTTGCATAGGTAGAGAGAGTCACTCAGTTGGGGAAGAGGGGAACACATTAGTCTTATACAGCACTTTTCCAGACACTCAAAGTCCTTTTACAATCTGGCGCATTATTCATTCAGTGGATCTATGACAGATGAGGCGGTGCTCACACTTGCACAACATCAAAACTGAAACTCAAACTAAACCAGGACTACACA